CGTTTTTTATTGAAAGTTGGGGTGTAAAGACGTTTGAGTGATGTTTCGAATTATGAGTAATAAGTGGTTGTGCAGGAACTGAAGAGCTATTTACTGTCTTGGAGATTGAAAGATCATTTAAGTTGAGTTGTAAAGTGGTTAAGTTGAAGCCATTTTTTATTTAAAATCCCATCTTTTTGTTTTTTTTTTTTTTTTTTNNNNTGTACATAAAATCACATTTTTATGCAGTTACGAATTTATATAATAGGATATATTTAATTTAATCCATAGTTTTTAAATCGGCCCGGTAATTGACCCGGGCAGGTCTTCGGGTCAGCGACTCACTGGTTCAACCGCCGGGTCACCTGGTCAATTGTTGGACTGGATAATTAATTTTAACGATTGAATTCAGTTAAATAAATTAATTAATTTATTAAACATATCATTGTAAAAATAATAGTCAAGAAACCAGTTTATTTCTCAAGAAACTCGTTTTTTGTTCAAGAAACCCGTTAATTTCTCAAGAAATTAGTTTCTTGAGCAATAAACTCGTTTCTTGTTCAAGAAACCCGTTTATTTCTCAAGAAACTCGTTTTTTGTTCAAGAAACCCGTTTATTTCTCAAGAAACTCGTTTTTTGTTCAAGAAACACGTTTTTTGTTCAAGAAACCCGTTTATTTCTCAAGAAAATATTTTCTTGAGCAATAAACTCGTTTTTTGTTCAAGAAACCCGTTTATTTCTCGAGAAACTAGTTTCTTGAGCAGGTTTCTTTAGCAAAAAATGGGTTTGCTTGTTCAAGAAATAGTTTATTGGTCAAGAAACTCGTTTCTTGTACAAGAAACTTGTTTTTTGTTCAAGAAACCCGTTTATTTCTCAAGAAACTCGTTTTTTTGTTCAAGAAACCCGTTTATTTCTCAAGAAACTTGTTTTTTGTTCAAGAAACTCGTTTTTTGTTCATGAAACCCGTTTATTTCTGAAGAAACTAGTTTCTTGAGCAAAAAACGGGTTTCTTGTTCAAGAAATAGTTTATTGGTCAAGAAACAGGTTTCTTGAGCAAAAAACTGGTTTCTTGTTCATGAAACCCGTTTATTTCTCAAGAAACTAGTTTCTTGTTCAAGAAACCCGTTTATTTCTCAAGAAACTCGTTTATTTCTCAAGAAACTCATTTATTTCTAAAGAAACTCGTTTTTTGTTCAAGAAACCAGTTTATTTCTCAAGAAACTCGTTTTTTGTTCAAGAAACCCGTTAATTTCTCAAGAAATTAGTTTCTTGAGCAATAAACTCGTTTCTTGTTCAAGAAACCCGTTTATTTCTCAAGAAACTCGTTTTTTATTCAAGAAACACATTTTTTGTTCAAGAAACTCGTTTTTTGTTCAAGAAACTCGTTTATTTCTCAAGAAACTCGTTTTTTGTTCAAGAAACCCGTTTATTTCTCAAGAAACCC